CACCACTCGTCCTGTGCTGCATTGCAGACTGCCAAGTCAGCGGGGCTCACAGCCCAAGCTAGTCGGGCTCGGTAACGCCTTTGCATCCAGCCTGTCGAGCGAGGATGTACACTGGTCGATATTCAGCCACGTCGGTAACCAGTGGGCGGGGTGAGAGCAGCGCGAGTGCCCTGTTTCCTTCGCAGCGCAAAGCGGGCTCTCATTCAACACGACCACAGACTGCCAGCAGCATCGAGAGCAGGTGGACGAACGGATCAGGAACGCACAACAGGGGCTATTCTCCCATGTCTACGGATGTGGATGAGGACTCATCTTCGGCTTCGATCAGGCACGCGCACAGATCACAGCATGCAAACACCTTGTCACCAGTAGACCGGCGCGGGTCTTGGGACACCTCTTCCAGACTGTCAGATGAAGCCAGCTCTTCTCGTGCTGCGAACAGCCCCGGGCTCGATCCCAGAAGAGAGCGCGAGCTACCGCCTCTGCCACCGCCAAACGATGACGATGACGACGATCCTCGAGATAGGAACAATGCAGCACTATATTCATCTCAAGACTCGACTATCATTTCGCAAGATCGCTTCGGCAACCCGACATTCCAGAAGCGTGGCAAAGTGGCCATGCGTGCGGCTGGACAGGAAGCGATGAAAATGGGCGCCGGCTTGCGCAAGCTGGCGGGCAAGGCAGGTGCTGCTTCAGTAGCCTCTGCTCAACGATGGCGGACACACTCTCGACCTGATCAGCCGCCGTCGTCTTTGGCAACGACCGAAAAGACTACCAGTCGAAGCGGGTCAGGTGGAGGGGGTGGGATCAGCAGCGGGTTGCGAAGGCTGAACGGCCTCGCGTCCAAATCTGCAGTCGACCTGACTTGGTCCGAGCAGCGCAATAAAGCGCGCAATCGAAGTGCACAGAAGACCATAGAGGTCCCAGAATGGGATGCTTCCTTGCCACTGTTCAGGGACGACGCCGGGATCAGCCTTCCCACGAACGTGAAGCACAACGTGCATGTAGATGTCGGCCCGATGGGTTACACTGGTCTGCCAGCCTCTTGGGCTGATACATTGGCACAATGCGGCATGGATGCGGAGGATGTCAGGGCGGACCCAAAGGGCGCAGCCGATTTGATCCGCAAGCATACTGCTTACTACGTCCAACAGGAGGCTCAGCGAGGTCAAGCGCCGGAGACGACGCGCGAGCTGCTGCGATCGCGGCTCGGGGACTATGAGGACTTGCACAGCGCGATTAGCACTCCTGAAACGGAAGAGTGGGACCAGTCCCCTGCTGACAGACAAGCTGCTGGTTCGAGAACGAGCAACAATGATGTGCGACAAAGTGTGTCGACCACCTACTCGAGCGTCTTGAATCGTGGATGGGCGACGAGCCCCTCTTGGGACGACGCTCCTTCGATGCCGTCTTCGCCCAACAACCGGATAGAATCGTTGAGGCAGTCAAGTCCGCTTCTGCCCGAGGTGGGCAGCGATGAGGATTGGGGTGCCAATCTGATTGGTGCATTGCCGCGTGGCCAGGACGCAAAGCTACGATCGCGCTCTGGCAACTCTATCAAGAGCTCCGCTCAGACTACGGCGCCGCAGCGCCAGATTTTTGCTGCCAATGCACCGACGCGGCCGCTTGGAGGCAACGCGCTCACGGTCTCACCTGAGGACGACGTCAAGAACGCTCAAATCTCGACAGCGAGCAAGGCTTTGACGGGAAAGCCTCGAGCCTTACGAATGTCCGAGCTTGCTAGTCGGAGAGATGCATCCCGTCCGGGGACAGGACAAAGCAGCAGACCTGGAACGGCCGATACGCAGCGTGCAGCAAGCTCTGCTGACCATGGCATAGCTGCCTCGGAAGCACACGCAGGGTCGGACTCGAGTCACTCGCAGACCAGCTCGTGGCTTCACTTTTCTCAAAATGGCGGAAAGGTCTTGCAGGTGCCTCAGTCTGCCGAAGCCCAGCCTCGCAGCGCTCCCGCTTCTGCTGCGGCAAGGACCATCGCGCCAAGCATCTCTCCAGCCCTTTTGGCCGCGAGCGGCGGACGTAACGGATACCAAGCCCATGTCGCGCCACTGAAGGGTTCCAACTTCACTTTGCGCAATCTCAATGCCACTCGTTCGACTCCTTCACTCCACCAAGGCAGTGTAGCTTCAAGTCCGCCTCCACCGCTTCCTGTCTCTGCAGCTGCGGAAGGGTTTTACGTACCGAAGAGCGCAGGGATCCGTGCTTCGGGCGCGAGCCGCGTCTCCAATGGCAGTTCAGCCCACAGCGAAGCCGTTATTGGGCCAGCCCTCGTTGAGCGCAGGCAACAGTCGGGCCAGTGGAGCTCAGCTCGGACGCGAAGTCGCGCAGGTAGTCTCGCCAGCAGTGTAGAGGCCTCTCATTCGGACTCGCAGTACAGCGCGGAGCCTGCCGGTCAACCACAAAGCCTAAGGGAACGGCGCGGAGCTGGATCGCGCATACATCCGCCCAGCGCGAGTAAGCGCACCAGCAACGGACTGGTAAGCAGTGACGATCAGCAATCCCCATCGCCCGTCTCGCTGAGGTTCACGCGTCCGGATGGCGGCGCCGAGGCTCTTCGGCTGAACGCCGTCGAGACAAAACCAGATTTGTCTACCGGCTCAGGCTGGCTGGTCTTTCCCGGTCAAGGCCCCAAGTCGCCTCACACTCCTCTCAGCGCACGCTCGCGACAGGGCTCTAAAAGCTCCACCTCCTCGGACACGCGAAAGTTTCCTGTGGAATCTGCTCCGGTCGTCAATCCTACCCGAGGTTCGCGGCGGTCTAGCAAAGCCGACAGCGCAGATCACCCGCCTGTACTGCCTCCGAAGGACTCGAGTGCGCCAAGCACTCCGCAGCGCTCGCCTGCTTTTGCACCCCAAGATCGATCCGTGGCCGCTGAGGCCGATCTGACGAACGGGCTAGGCGAGCGGTCAACCGCACAGCGCAGCCCAGTAACGCCTCTTCGATCTCGAGAGCCGCCTCCTTCGTCTTGGGGCACCACCGGGTCTCGTCCCAGCGGCAGCGCTCACGTGCCGAAGCTTTCTGTCAATCTGCGGTCCGGAAAGCTGGGCGGAGACGCGAGCGATAGGCAAAGCCGCGGATTTTTGGATGACTGGCTGTTCAGAGGGCTGGGCGACGCGAGCTCGACGTCTGCGGCGCAAAACTTGAATAGTGCGGAACCAGCAGAGACTCGCATTCGCTCGTTGCCCCCAGTGTCTCACGACGACACAGCAGCGCATGTTTCCGGCGCGTTTGAGTCGGATAATGAAGGACCTGAGACAGGCGAAGGAACACTGGGGCGAAGAGCGTCCATCTCAAGTCTTCCAGAGACGGAGGCAGGATTCGACGCTATGCGATCGCGCGCGGCCTCCCCTTGGGGCCCTCCAGCGGCTGATCAGGAAGCGCTCGATGCGGCTGCAGCTACTAGACCCAGCAGTCGGACCAGCCGTCCAGGCAGCCGTGCCAGTCAGTCTTCGAGATCGGGCCGCCACGGCTCTAGGCGATATGCAGGGCGACGAAGCGAGGATGCCAAGCGCTTTCCCATGTCGACGCACTACGCTTCAGGAGTCTTCGAACACGAAGGCTTTTCCTTGGATGCTGAAGGTACTAGCACCTTTGCCGACCTCATGCGTCAACGACGAAGCTTCGATCTGGATGACATGATGCCGATCCAGCTGGCCTCGAGCGATCCCGTACCCCCTGTGCCCCGCCTAGACGCCGACAAGGACAAGTACTCCCGTAGATCGAGGATGACCTCGAAAGACGAGCTCAGCGACTCCCCCGCCAACATGACCAAAGTCCTTCCTGAACTCGAAGTGGAGGCGGAGGAGAAGGATGTCAGCGTCCGTGCTAGCCTGACCACCTCGAGCCCCGGCCCTGACATGTACGCGTGGCTGCCCGCTGCAGTGAGGCATCTTGGTGAGTACCACGGGGCCATGCTCTTCAAAGCGCGCATTGGACGTGCATACACGCTGACCTTTTTCACTGTCTATTCAGGCCCATTCCTGCGGGGAGATAACACTTCCACAGTATTCGGCGAGCTGTCAAAAATCGGCGAAGGGGAATCGGGAGACGTCTATTCTGCCTGTCCGCTGCGAAAGGGCAGTGGACCGGTTGCGATAAAAGTGATTCGAGTCGAACAGAGCACAGCGGAACGGGACGTCATGTCGAGGCTAGGACAGCTGGACAAAGAGCTTGCTTTGTGGAAGCAGAGTGGGCACGCCAACGTGCTTGGTTTGCACGATGTCTACTACTCCGCAGATGGCGTTGCGCCGGGCATTTGGGTCGCTCAAGATCTCATGTCGATGTCTCTCGCCGACATTATCGCGCTTCGGCCTGCAGGCATCGAGCTTTCAGAGTCCTCAATGAGTCGAATCGTCCTCGACGTCTCTAGCGCTTTGGACTTTTTGCACTCGAGAAACATTGTTCACCGAGACGTGCGTTCTGACAACATTCACCTCGATGCGGAGGGGATTGCCAAGCTGGCCGACTTTACGCATGCGGCCCAGCTTGCGCAGAGTCCAAGTCCTCTTAGCAAGCGCACGTCGGTGATAGGCACAGCATACTGGATGGCTCCAGAGGTGGTCAAGGCGGAACCGTATGACACCTGCGCGGACATTTGGTCCCTTGGAGTCGTCATATATGAAATGATTGAAGGCGACCCGCCTCGAGTAGATTTTCCGGCGCTGCGTGTGGGTACATTTCGTTTCGCTGACGTGCATGCACGATCCAGGGCGAGTTGACCTCTCGGCTGACTTTCGTCCCAATCGCGCTTCGCAGGCCATCACTTTGACCGCCAAGCTGGGTCTACCACCATTGACATCACCAGAGAAATGGTCCGCCGCGCTTCAGCAAGTGTTGTCTTGGTGCACCGAAATGAACCCGTCCAACCGGCCTACGGCTGGCGCTCTGGCTCCTGTGAGTAGGTTTTGGGGAGCTATGGAGCAAGAGCGCCGACCTGCGACTTTGCTTACTCCGTCCTTCCCTCCCCTTGAACAGAGCGAGTTTTTATCAAAAGCTTGCCATCCTGCGCAGCTTGCCGCGCTCATCACGACGGCCCAAGCAGTCGAGGCGGACGCGGCTGCTGAGGAGGAGCTCGTAACGTCGGACGATGCGGATGACACAATGGATCTGATCGACGCCCATCTGCACGATCGAACTCGCGACTCTTGGGCCTCACAAAGCACTATTCAGGGGTGAACAGAGTGCCCACCTATCGCGCACCTTTCGAAGACCTACCCATCTTCTCTGGTCTCCTCACAACATTTTGCTATCGTTCTTTGCGCTGCTGTCTGCTGCAAACACACGTGTACAATATATGCTACTTCATCCACTGCGAACCCAAGCACTTGTGTCAGAGCACACTTCTCATCTGCTAATTGCATACACGATTCATCCTTCGTGCACGTTCATCAGAGGTCTGCTGTTGTGGCGGCAATCTTTGGTGTGGGCAAGGTAAGCACGCCGGCCGGCTTGGTTCAGGTCTCCGCAATTGCATTCACAATTGGGACATCCGAGAGCTGTGAGCTCCCGCTGCGCGCTTCGCGTCACCTGTTCGATTCTTGATGACGAAGGCAGACCGATGAGCCGCCTGATGCTGTATTCATTGAGTGGCGCGCGCGTGTCAAGCTCGACTCGGAGCGCGCTCTCCTGCATTCTTGATTCAGATTGCGAATGCGCACGGCGTCCAGTCTTGCCACGTCCGCAAGCAGCCGCGAGTCGAGTCGTGAGTGTATCAACTCAAGACTGTCAACCTTTTGGAAGAAACACGAATGGTGTGGCTCGTGCTTCGAGGACTCGGCGAGCGCGTCTGAGTGGGGCCTGCGTGCTGGTCGTGCTTGGCAGCGATACACGTCTCGAATGGTGAGTGCTACATGCGTTCACAAAGCTCACTCCTTTGCCGCACACAAAGGTGCTGTCGAAGGTCTTGGAAAGTCATGTACGACTTGCACGAGCGTCAGTGGCTTGGAAAGCGATCAGATTGAGCGACGAAGCACCAGGGCGGCACGGAGGCCTATGTTGAGCTAGATTCGGACGTATCAAGGTGGCGTGTACGCGAGTTGCAATAGCATCAAGAGTAAGCACTGCCCGAAGTCGTGAAGGTGTGTATACCGCTCTCGCACTCTTGAATCATCAACGAATCGCTGAACGGATACTAGGCCGTGGTAATAAGCGGTTGCTCGATCACGGTCCCAGCTACTGTATAGCACCCATAGGTGCCCTCGCTGCATGCATGGGCGCAGGGCGCCAAAGTCTTGAATGAAGCTGCCGCGCGTGTTTGGACCTCGGTCGAGCAGGTGCTGCATCCGCGATGAATGATGATGCTGAGAAAGCGGGTGACGTGGGCCAAGTCGCGAGTCATGTTGAACAGGCTCTGAGCATGGGCCGCTCTGGTCTGCGCCTG